AAAGACGAAAAAACACACCTTGGATCGTCGAAATCGATCATCGCACCGGCATGGTACCAAGTCACGTTGCTCGGAGAAATATCTTGCACGTCCACGATACATGTCAAACTGATCGTGCTTCCCTTTTTCACATACACTTCCTTGGGCTCCGTGATCTTTGCCTGCACATCTGGTGTCAGGCGATGATGAAAAGCGAAAAAAATAAGAGGTTTCAACTAACAGGTTTCAATATATACAGTCTATATCCGTCTGGGCATAGAAATTCAACAACACATAGAAATTCGACAAGATCTGACCGAAACTTCGAGATACATGAATAAAGAATCAATGAATAAAAGATGTTGCGAGTAGGTGAAATTTATTCATAACTATTTCGTCATTTTGGCCGGCAAATAAGATAAGCTGAAGAGAAACTAAAAAAAAAAAAAAAAAAAAATAGCACGTACGAACTTGTTGGCGTAGAGAGAATGATTCAAGATATTTATAACAATAGATTGAATATTATAGAATAGGATAATAAGTTCTACGTTTTTCTAACGAACGGACGAGGTGCCATTTTAAATAAAAGATTTTCCGCGGAGAATAATAACATCCGTTTCTAGAATAAGGGGAAGCGACAGAAACTCACCCAAAACTTTCAAAGTAATCGCCCTATATATCTTGGGCTCTGCATTAACTTGACACTCGTAAATGCCATCGTCCCGTGGTTGAACGTAATCTATTCGCAGATTCCAGTCGTCATGCTCCGGATTGCCGATTATCTTAAATCTTGCGTCGCTCGTATAAGTCACCGACATGGACGTTAAGATGTGTAAGTCGCTTTTTCGAATCCAAGACACCTGGGACAAATTCCGAATGAGACATGGAAATATTTCGCCGCCCGCTAACTGCCCGTGATATCGAACTCGTTTCGCAACTATCTGTCCTGTGAAATATGCACGAGATAGTTAACGATCGCCGTATTTCTCATTGTTATTTTTTTTTTTTTTTATGAATTCGATTTTACAAAATTTTAACAATCCCAGAATTAATCACGATTAATCTTTTTGAAACCTCTCTTCATGTACAAATGAATTGGGGAAAGATTAATTCTACCGCGAAATCAAGTTTGAAAAGAAAAACACTTGTATCGTAACGCGATATATATCGTTTGTTAACCAGAAAAGTAAGAAATTATTTTAGAAATAATTTCACGAAAGCGAAAATTTTATGTGTTTCGCGGCGGTAATACTGTATCTTATCTTAATTAATGACAAAAACAAATTGAAGGTTTACGTAGAGAAACGAATAAGATAGTGTTATTTCACATTTCGTTGTTCCATTTTTTTGATCTCCTCCTAGAGAATTTCTCATCACGTTTGCAATTTACGATTACTGGAATTTCTATGACAGAAAATTTTAAACATGTTAATTTCGTATCTCCTAAATTTCTAATAATATATAATCGTATCTTGTAATGGTTGTAAACGTTATACTTTTTAACTATGGCACTATCCATTTCGAATAACATGGGATCTTAATTCACCAATTCACAGTGATATACAAGTTTTTGAAATGATTCACTTCTTATTATACAGTGAATGTAAAATATATAATTATGAAAAATTATATAATTCCTATATACAATACGAATGGAAATATATCACACACAATAATCATAAGTGGCGCAACGTGACTTCATTGATATCCAACTGAACGTGTTGTAATAAAATAACGTTGTTTTATTCAAATTCGTCTCGTTATTGTTTCAAAAGTTTGCAACGTAATTGCGAAGCGTGCAAAGCGACACTACTATTCAAAGAAACGTGAAACTCACTGTTCTATTCCCCAGATTCTTAACACGACACAACAGCACAACAGTTTGTCCCACAACGGCGGTCACTTTTTGGGGCGAATCTTTATAAAAATATGTCTTCTTCGCACCTCGTTGCGACCGTTCGCCTTTATCGGTTTTTTCTCCATCGAATCGTTGCACCGCTAAAATTCAAGTATCACGCTTGAATCATAGCAAAAATTTCATTTAATAGTCTCTACATCCAGTTTTTTTAAGCGAAACAATCCAAAGATTAAAGCGACGAAGAATATTTTGTATTTTTTTTTTTTTTTT